TTTATAATTGCTGGAAAGACTCCTGTGGGTGAAAACCATCTTGTGTGGTTTTATAAGCAACAAAATGGGTTATTTCTATTAGAATCTGGTACTGACTGAAATAATCAGCTGAGTCTAAAGTGTGCCTTTGGTTTAATTTTCTGTGACTGAACTGATGCTGTTTCTGTTTGGACAGGACCTTCATTCACCTACTGCTGTACCCAAAGTTCCCTCCTCACCAAGACAGGACTTCCCTGCAGACTGGAGTATTAAAACACGGATTCTATTCATGTCTAACCAACCTTTCACCTGGACGGAACATCTAAAAGCACAAGAGGAAGCTCAGGGACTTGCTCAGCACTGTAGAGCTACAGAAACCACCTTGCCCCAGAGTGTGCAGGTGAGAGCTGGGAGGGTGGCTGGAGCTCCAGCTTTGTGTCTGGCAGCTTTCCCGTCCTCCTCAAACCCTCCTGGATCTCCAGGAACCCCAGCTGTCCACGGAGCTGCGCTGTGCCTTCCAGCAGAGCCTCGTGTACTGGCTCCACCCTTCGCTGCCGTGGCTGCCGCTGTTCCCTCGGATTGGGGCAGACAGGAAAATAGCTGGAAAGGCTTGTCCTTGGGCACAGGATGAGGCCTTGCAGCAAGTGCTCAGGAGTGACTGGTGAGTGGAACCAAATTATTCGTGTATTTGGTAAGATTAAGACAATGGGATTTTAATTAATCACAGAATCACAGGATGGTTTGGGATGGGAGGGGTTTTAAGGATCTTCTCGTTCCACCCCCTGCCATGGGCAGGGACACCTTCCACCAGCCCAGGTTGCTCCAAGGCCTGTCCAACCTGGCCTTGGACACTCCCAGGGATCCAGGGGCAGCCACAGCTTCTCTGGGCAACCTGGGCCAGGGCCTCCCNTCCCATCTATCCCTGCCCTCTGGCAGTGGGAAGCCATTCCCTGTGTGCTGTCCCTCCATCCCAAGCTCCTGTGCAATGTCGGTAGCCAAGGAATGCCTGCCGTGAGGGCTGTTGCTGCTCGTTCCCAGGTGTGTGAGCTTCTCCTCGCTGTACCGGCTGCTCAAGGCGGGGCTGTGTCCCTATTTCTACGTGTGCTGCCCGCAGTTCACGGTGCTGTTCCGCGCCGCGGGGCTGGGGGGCAGCGCCGTGCCCAGCGCCGCCATCGCCCCCACCACCCGCGGCTTCAGGGAGGCCCTCAGGAGCGAAGGCAAGTGCAGCCGGTCCTGCCGGCACGGGCAGGGCTCACAGAAGGCAGGGGCTGTGCGGCAGAACCGCTCACTGCCCTCTCTCCTCTGCTCCAGGCATAGAGTTCTCCTTACCTTTCGTAGAAGAAAGAGCCAGGAGACAGAAGAACTCCGGGGAGGATTTGGGAACAGAAGTGGCTGACGGCCTCAGAGGGGGCAGCAGTGCAGAGGATGCAGAGTAAGTGACAGCCCTGTGCAGTGCTGGAATTCAAGGGCATCTCCAGGCTCTTCCACAAGCTGTTTGGAGAACCCTCCTTGGAGGTGCTGCCCTGCTAACACTGATCCTGTGCTTTCCAGGGAACCAGCTCTGAGCGATGATGATGAGGAAAGTTTCTCTTGGCTAGAGGAGATGGGAGTCCAAGACGAGGTGAAGAAACCAGACACCATTTCTATCCAACTGTATCCTTCCTTTGCACTTCCAGAGGTGTGACACCGGGAAACCCTGCAGCTGTTACAGTGCTGTGGTACAGATTTAAGTTCTCTCAGAGCTTTTGAGAGCTGTTCTCCAAATACAAATCCTCCCGTTCCTGCATGCTGAGAGACTGTGCATGTCTTCTTGAGTTCCTTTACAGGGATTTCTAGGAATCTGAAGCCAGGATTAAGATGCCGCTTAATATTCAAAGAATGAATCAGTGCAAACTTGGTGGGGTTTGGCTTTTGGGCTTGAAGGACTCGATTGGGCAGAGGGGGCAGGGGGGGCTCTGCTGCTCCAGCTCTGCCTTTGCACAGGGGTATCTCCCCCCTGGCCGTGGTTTTCCCGTGACTGCCGTTCCCAGGCGCAAGGAGAAGCAGGAGGTGCAGGTGGACCACCGGCCCGAGTCGCTGGCGCTGGTGAGGGGCTCGGCCACGCTGCCCCTGCTCAACCTGCTCATCAACTGCCGCAGCCTGGTGGCCGTGGCGGGGCCGCAGGCGGGGCTGCCCCCCACGCTGCTGTCCCCCGTGGCCTTCCGGGGGGGCACCATGCACACGCTCAAGGTGAGGGCAGGGGGCAGGGGGGGTTTCCTCACCCCCACCTTGGTGTCCTTTCCCTCAGGCACCACAGAGGGGGTTTGTGGCTGGAG